GGAAAGAGATTAAAATCTCCAAGCAGTTACAGGTTTAAGCATATCTTTGAGTTACGTATCAGGTCTAAACAACAAAAACAATTAGTTTTTAGTTTACAACAGCAATTCAAATTATAAAGGACAGACTAAAAACTAACATACTCCAGTAGGTAAGAGTCACCAATGGGCAAGGGAAGAAAGATCTACTAGGTTGAGAGGTGGAATTGTGACTGTCTTTTAATGTACCTCTCAACGAATATCTTCCCATGCTTTTCATTTTTCTCCACTTTGCTGGAGAGTCCTACATCTTAAGTCCAAAATCTCCACAGAAAGAGCACAAATCTTAGGGCTGTGTGAAACTTCGCTCCCTGGTTCGATTCGGCAGAGATCTGGCCCGACTGAGAGGCCAAATCTCCAAATCCGAATCAAATCAAGAGACGCTTTAATCTCTCCGAACTGATTCAGAGAGATTTAGCAATTTGGATATAGACACATCATTAAATGTCCTGTGGAACACTTCATCCGCCCCAGCATTGCAGCATTCACAATCCGCGCCTGGTACCTCGAGGTATGTAGAAAAAACATTTAAAGCTATGTCTATGTCCAAATAGCTGACTCTCCGAATCACATCGAATCTTCAGATTCGGATTCAGCCGAATCGAATCGGCGACAGTGATCCAAATCAACAAATTGAATCACTGTCCCCGATTCGGGCTGAGTCCAAATCAAATATGGCCCATTTTGCACCCCCCTAATAAATATGTTTGTATTCAGTCTGCCCCTTTTATAAAGATTATTGCAGTAATCACGGCAAAAATTATTTTTGAAGGTAAGCAAAAGAAACTATATTGATCATGTCTTTTAATACCCATTGTTATAGTGGGGAGTACCTTGCTGACTCCTATTGGGGTGATGGAACCCCAAGGAACACCCCCACTGGCCCAAGGGCGGGAAACGGAGGCAGACACTCCTGCCAGGAGCAGAAACTTACTTGAGAAGATGCTGGCGGTGTGGTCTGGGGAGTTCCCAGTGCCACATCCACCCTGCTTTAGAAGCTCATGCTGGATCCAGGTTAGCCGGTGCACTACAAAGGACATCATAAAGTCGCACCCCGCAATGGCTGAGGGAAGAACACAGACCTGGGAGCATGGCTGTTGGAGAGCCGACCCAAACCTGAGTGTGCTCCAGCACAAGCAGAACAAAGAGAAGGGCAGGGGTAGCTCTTCTGATTGGAGGCTTGGAGGGGCCTCAGCACAGTCGGACCAACTTCACACTGCGGAGGAGTTGCCAGCTCAGAATGGAGGTGACGGCAAACATCAGCTGTTTGGCAGGACTGACAGGAGGGACAAACTGTGAGTTTGTTCTGGAGACGCGAGGTCTCCTGTGGTCAGATTGAGAGGGCAGCAATGTCAGACAAGGAAAATTAAGGATATATGATGGACTAACCCTGACGGGCATACCCATCAAAGCCCATAGAACTGTGAGACAAGTGGTCAACTAAATATTGAGAGAAAGATTAGACCAACTGTGAGGATGATGCCACTTTACCATCCGATGGTACTTGGCCTGACCAGACCATAAGACCAAGTTGGTGCAAGGACAGGTTGTAGGGGAGGCAGAGCCCCGAGAGACAGTGAGGCACTCATGAGGGCAAATGTAAAACATCAAGGATCCTCCCTACTCATCTAAAAAATCAAGACGTGGTGGGCAAGATGGAGGGCGTGCTCTGTTAATATGAGCCAGCAAGGTTAAGCTGTCAGGCCCCAAGAACTGGCACTTGACAGATTGGAGCCCTAGACCTCAGTGGCGAACCTGAACAAGGCACGGCCATTTACACCCATGTAAACTTACTTTATATGCATGGGGGAAAAAAAACAACTAAACCCGCACAAATTCAGAAGAGACAAATCACAAGAACAGCCAACCCAAAATCAGAAGGCAGATTTCAAAACCCAGCCCGGGACTTGTGAATTCTGACACTTTCTGAAAGGTCTAACTATTCTTGGATTCCTGGATAACTTCCCAGCCCACATTTGACTGCCATAAACTGAAGATCCACATGACAGTTTCATAAACAAATCTCTTATCAGGAGGCCACTAAATCAAACTCCATACAGCATTCTGTAAATGCACACTGAAAATGTAATTTTCTTACTTGTGTAAGTGGCATATGGGTGAAATAACGTCAGATGCTGTTCCAGTGTCACACCTAATACCAAATCTTCTTTCCATGTGAAGTTGATTTTACAACTTTTTTACCCTCAATAGCGTCATACTTCTTACCACCGTTTAGCTTCTTAAACAGATGGTCAAGAACCTAATAATATCTCAATCTATAACTCCATAACAGGGAGATCTAACCCTTTCAGGGCCCAAGGATCCTAGGGCCAACCAGCTCTGTTTGATTACTGGATTAGCTAAAAAGGATTCAAGTGGTTCCTAGAAAGCTTAGGAGAGCTCAGGTGAAAGAAGTTGGCTCCTGTGAGTATCACTGGAGCAGAGGGAGAGACACAACGGGAAAAGGCTTCTGAGACCCTACAACCTGCTTTAGTTAGAGCAGAGATGTCAAATTCACCTCAGGCCCAAAACCAGATCTAGACTTTGGGGGCTCTTCCCAGGCCAGATGCACAGAGACAGCAGAAGCTGCAGAGGGTCAGAAGTTCATATTCAGCTGACAGCACAGGACATTCAGGTGACAGCACAGGTCTGGAAGCAAGGACTACTGTGGATTGGGGATCAGATGACAGCAGAGCAAGTGAATGCTTTATCTTCAAGGCCCTTGCTCGCCCCATGCCAACAGTGGCCATGCCTATCGGAATCCAAGAACCCCAAAATTCTGCAGTGCAGCATGTCCCACTGGCCACATCACCCAACTTCCAGTAGCCCACCAGACTACCAGCAGGCCAGACAGAATGGGTCTGTAAACTGGATACATCCCACAAACTCTGTCTGACACCCTTGAGTTAAAGGAATAGCTTAGTTTTTGGTGTTACTTTGAAAGTCTTGATTGACAAATAGAATTAGAACCTGAAGCAAGGGCCCGAGCAGACTTCTGACATAGCATCAGTCCAGTGGCTCCCAACCTTTTTTTTGCTGCGATCCTAAATCTGGGTCGCGACCCCTGCCCCCGACTCACTCGTGCCTGGTGGCACCAGCAGAGCCCGGGCCGAGCTGGGATTGCAGGGGGCAGTGATGGGGACAGCCACGTGGACCATGTGCCAGGAGAGCCCCACAACCCTGATTTGGGTCGTAACCTGAGGTTAGTCCTTCCTGGGCTGACACAGGCCAGCAAGCCACATGCACCCACAGTTTACCTGTTGTCATAATTTCTCAAGTGTACTACTACTACATCTGGGATTAGATGAAGTGTGAAGTAATGTGAGAATTAGACACACTCATCTCATAACCAGGCCAGGGCAGCCAAATTACCTTTGGCATAATCTTCTACTGTTTTACAACCAACATTAAAATATTCACAAATACAAAGCTATTTCTGTTCTTCTAACCCAGGGGTGGGCAAAGTCCAGCCCATGGGCCACATTAGGCCCACAACCGACTCCATTTACCAGCAGCCTCTGCCTGCATCACTCTAGCAGGTTTCCATGGAGACCCCAGGAACGATGGGGCCATGACTGTGTGGGGTTAGGGTTTCCATGCAGACCAGTCCAAGCAGCGCTGGCAGGGACTGGGAAATGGCCAATCCACCATTTTGCACACCCCTGATCTAACCCCACAAAAAACAGAAGCAAGTCTTAACAACTTTCCCTTTTCTTCCTCTATTTGTCCTAAGCAATGGACAATTCACCAAGATGCCACTTGCCAAAATCTAATCCTGTATTCCAAAACCAAATATACATCTGTAAATCGATCAATGCCTCCTAAGGCAAACTGCCATTTTTCTAAATATTAAATATCGAGAGCTAATAATTTAAAGTTCAGTTTTGAAAAACTGATTTTGATCTGTGTAAAAACTGCACTGCCCCAATGTTTAACCACTACAGTTCATGCTAATCAACAGATGACAATTTATAGACCATGATGTTTTGCAGCTACTTTTAAAACTGAATAAAATGTCTATCTTTTGGGGCTATGTTCTCCATACTTGGTCTCTGCCAGAAGTTTGAGCAAACAGCCCATCCATACTTGGCTAAGAGGAGAATATGGATACACAAGGAAGGTTTCACCCTCTCACATTATTAAAAGGTTATTGTAACTTAAAAAAAAAAAAAAACCACCCAGTAAGCTAACACTTGCAAGTTGGCACCAACATAGCCCTCTTTAAGAAGTGGCACAAAATTTCTCCTAAAGAAAACTAGACTTGATTGTGCTAAGTTATAAAAGTTTGAATATCACATACTGACTGTGCACAGTCATTTAAAAGGGGGTGTTCCAAGCTTAAAGTGCACAGCCAAATAACATGACACTGTTTGTGCTAACCTAAATAAGCTAGTGGTCAACTGCCTTTTCATCTATGTTGCTGAAGATGACTGAAGAGAGGGCTCATTGAGAGCCTTTCCTCAGTCCTCACAAGTCTAAGATGCATGTGAAGTGGACCAATTATGATACACTCAATATGGAAGGGATCCACAGCCTCCCAAACTGCAGCTGAGAAAATCCCACTCAAATGCATATTAAGAACTCCAACAGCAGTGCTGTAGAGCTCCAAAGCTGTGCAGGAAATGTGCTCCCTTCCATTTGTCTCCTAAAATGTATAATATATGGAATGCTGGGGTCCAGACAAATCATTACAGATGATGAATTTTTCATGCAGTATTTTTAATTATTTGCAAGCACGAAAAGTACAAGTGAACAGAGAACATTGAAGTTGGGCACTTGAGCACTCAGAAATCATGAAATATCAAAGACATAGTTGTAAGAACAATATTAAATCTGTTCACTTATGGTGCAGTCTTTTTATGATCACATGGTACTTTCCTAAATGTATGCTATTACTTTCTATGATTTAAAATATATAATATTATGATGTTACATCTGAATGCTAGTCTACAAAATCTATTTGTATGAGAAGTAATGATTCTATGCTTACTCTCAGATGTCTTGGATAAATGTTAAGTATACTTAACGTGCTGTGTTCTATGTATTGCACCAAGTAATAATGAAAATACTGGCATTTATGGGCCACTTAAACTGACCCCTAAATAAGTTTCATAGTCTTTTCTTTTAAATTATGCTTTCCAAAGGTTGTGTTGATAGCTAAACTACAACCAAGTATGACTGGTAAAAAAAAAATATTAAACATTGTGTCTTAAGAAAAAAAAAAAGCACATAGGAAAAAATATAGGAAGCCTACATCAAGAAAAGAATTCATTATGCCACAAAATGTGTGGGGGGGGGGGGGAGGGGGGTGTTAT